AGGAGTCTAGCTGGCCTAGACGAATGTAACAGAGCAAAGCAAAGCAAAAAGCAAAGCCAAAAGGGGTCTAAAATAGGATTTATTGAGCACCTACACACAACACCCGACATTCCTTGTTTTTCTGTCTCGATCCTGTTGTCGTCGGTGTTTTCGCGCCACTGTCGCTGGGCGGCCTACGTTGCAGCGACCCGTTTTTGTTACCAACAGGTTGGTTTTAGTGGCGGGACCAGTCTAGCTGGCCTAGAAAACTTTAGCAAAACAAAACAAAACAAAGAGGCCCGTGAAGGCAGGGACCCCGGACTCGCGGGGGGCCCTGCGGTTTCAAGGCAGCATCATTGTTGTGTTGGCACGGCTGGTAATGCCCGGACCGCCTCAGCGAGGTCGTCTGGCACAAGCCCATCAGGCCACGTCCATCTGCTGCGTGCCACTGTGCCAACGCGTGCCAGGCCCTTGCACACGGGGCCAGGGTGGTCGCTTCGACGGCGGCGGACGAGCCGGCGGCTGGGCTGGAGTGGACGGGACAGCTCAAGTGCGTGAGGTGCGTGGTGCTGAGCCGGGCGCGGGCCATGTGTGCTGCGGGGTGAGCGGGGGCAGGGGGGGGGGCAGGCATGCGGCATGCGCCGTGGCCGTGGCGCGAGGCGTGTGGGCCCTCTGAGTAGAGTGTTTGGCCCTTGCACTTGATTGCATGCTTGCATGCCGGACAGGGCCCTCCGCATGCGGCGCATCTTCGTCGGCTTGATGAGCGGCAATACCCAGCTCTTGCTCTGCTTTGGCAACACCCAGCTTGCCGTCGTGCTCAAAATTTTTCCAGCAGCCCGCTTGCATGCAGCGGGCGTCAATCGCCGTGCAGCTGCTTTGGCATGGAGCGGCTGCGCGCGGCAGATTCGCCATTGCTGTATTCAATGTCTATCTCGTGAGTTTCTGCAGTTTTCAGCTGCGCGGGAGCTTGCCCTGGCCCCAGGCTCGTTCTGTTGGGGGCGCAGCAGCTACAGGTAGGCACACAGATGGCGGGGCGGCGGGGGGCAGTTGTGGCTGTCGCACCTGCCTCACAGCTTTGTGCTTCGAGCCGGCCCTGTCCCTGCCGGACCCCGCCACCCGCGCTCGTGGGGCCCACGCCGCAGCCCGGGGCGGGCCGGCTGGTTTATGCCGCACTTGGTTTACCTAGAGTGGTGGCCGCCTTTCCATGCGCACCCCCGTCCTCCACATCCCATGCCCGTCACAATAGGCTACCGGCGCAGGGGTCGCTTGTAAATTGGGGTTCTAGGTGTTTCGTGTCATGTTGTCTGGGTGCGTGTGCCTGTCGTGTCGTGACTTCCCACTCGTCCCTCCCCACGTTTCCAGGGTGCTGTTCGTTTCGCAGTGCCTCACCTGTCGAGTGCACGCCTCACCTTTGCTGCCACGCACGGCCCCACGGCCTGCACCGTCTGCATGGCAGGTCAGCTGCAGCGGCAGGGGCGGCAGGGGCAGCGGCAGGGGGAAAGAATGCAGCAGCAGGAGTAGCAGGTATGGGCAGCGACAGGCACAGCGCAGGGCCAGCGGCAGGCAAGGCGCGCACCAGGCCCCGCTTTTGCCCGGGCAGCTGTAGAAACCGAGCGTCCCAAGGTCACAGGCCAGGAAAGCAGTCACCAACGGCCGACCCATGAGCGTCAATCGCTGGGCCAAGGCTTACATGGGGCTGAACACGCAGCAGGAACCATGCGATGCGATGCGAGCACAGTGCACATCACGACACGGCGCCCGCCGCCTCTGCCTCCGCCCCCGCCGCGACCCCCTTCGCCGCCTCCACCCCCGCCGCGGCGCGCGGCCTGTCCGCCGCCGTTCCCCCAGGCCGCAGCGCCGCCAGCCGCCCCACCAGGTCCCGCAGGCCCCCCACCACCTCGTCCGCGTGCGGCGCCAGCGCCTCGGCCGGCAGGCTCGTTGTCACGGCCACAGCGTACGCGCCGGCGGCCCTGGCTGCGGCGAGGCCGTGGGCGGCGTCCTCTATGACGAGGGCGCGGGCGGCGGAGCGTGGCGAGGCGGCGCCCAGGCGGCGGAGGGCCTCTAGGTACACGTCAGGCGCCTGGGCAGGGGTGAGGGGGAAGTTTGTGGCCGAGGCATGACGTGCAATGATGTGGGTGAGACGTTGGGTGTTGCGGCTGTTAACTTGCATAGTTGCATCAAGAAGTTGCACTTCGTGCAAGCGTGTGAATTTGTAAGGTGACGTCTCTTGAACAAGGGGGGGAGCTGGTGGGTTGATGTCACAGTGTCGGGACGATTGCGGCTTGTGGGACGTGTGGCTTCAGCGCGAAGGGCGGAGGCGGCCAGGAAAACAAGGGCGGGCCCGCATCACGGCGTGTGCCCGCACCGGCTTGCCGCGCCGCACATAGGCCGCCGACACGATGTGCTCTGGGTCCAGCAGCGGCGCCAGGCCGGAGCTGCCGAGGTTGCGCGCTATCTTGGAGGGGGCGCCTGGGCGCGCTCGAGGGTGGGGGCCGCGGGATGGATGGGTGGGAGGGGCGGATGTTGGAGGCAGAGCGAAACGAGAGCGGGGGGATGGGAAGGTGCACAACCCTGGCCATCCCCTCACCGGGCTCACCGACTCGTCAAAGCCCGACACGGCCCCGCCTGACGTGGCTGCAATGCCCAGCGTTGTGCCCCGATCGTTACGTTGCGCCGGACGCAACCCTGACGCCTGAGCTGGCTTCAACCTGCCATGCCGCCCCTGCTATGAAGCTCGCCAGCATAAGACACCACCCCCAACCACAGCCATCAACTGTGGCCCCCCCACCTGACGAGGCGACGGCCACGCCCCACCCCAGGGCCTGCGCCTCCTTGATGATGTCAGCGGCCCCATCGAACGCGGATATGCCGTCAGCGGTCAGCTTCTCATAAAAGACCTCCTTCACCTCCTGTGAATGGGTGGGTGTGTGCGATGCGGAAGATTGGACGCTGTGAAATGTGCAGTGGTGCGTCAAAACACCATCTCAACGGCCCTGCATGGAAAATTGAGGCTCTGGGTGTGGCCCGGGGCGCCGGCGGCCAGAAGGTGCGGAGTGTGTGACAGCGGCGCGGTCCGAGCAACCCCCCCTTCGCGCCTGCACTTTGGCGGCGATCGCGGGGACGTCTGTCCAGTCGTCCCTGGCAAAGGGGTGGTTGGTTGGTTGTGATGTCATGCTGACGGAAAGACAGGACGGGATGCATATGCAGAGCGCGCCGCGGCCAGCTGTTCGTGCGGAACGTCATCTCAGGGCTTTTTCTCGACCTGTCCCAGCGCTAGCTTGTGACCCAGCGCGAATGGCAATTTCAAGGGCCCGCACGCGCGCACGCGCACGCACGCACGGTGTGCACATCGCACGCAGCGGAGCTCCCGTCCACACCTGCCGTGCCGCCTCTTGTAGTGCTCCACGCAGCCCACGACATCCATCCCAAACACCTCCCGGTAGTCCTGGACGCGGAGGGAGGAGGGGGGGAATGGATTAATCGCAGGGGGGGAAGGGG